AAAAAAAAAAAAAAAAAAAAAAAAAACACAGTCACAACGAATGAAACGGCGCCGTATTGCACGTTGAGACTAGTTTTCTTGTATAAATGAAAAATAAAAGAGCCGGTGCTCTGCAACTGCAGCAGGTTTCTTCTTTCATCTTCGTCTTCCTTCTCTGTCTCTGTTTCATTTCAGTTTCTTCTTCTTGTTCAGTTCATTCCATTTTTGTACTTCATTCCTTGTGATTCTTGCTCGTAATGTTGCTTTTTGTGCTATAGACTCATAGCTCACCTCCTTTGGGAGTGAAAAAAGTCAGAGAAAGGGGCTATCGGCTTTCTCCTCTAGTACTGTACTTTGGAGTTGCGAAGGAAGGTCGACTTTCTGAAAGGAAAATCGATTTCTGGATAGCGATAATCGAAACACCTGTTTTTGCTAGCGGAGTGATTTGAAAGATCAATCGGTTAGTTGAGCGTTATTGTCAAGACGACGTGACTTTTTTTTTTTTAATTTTTTTTTTATTGTTCTTTTAATTCCTCTGGAATATTGCGGTAGTATTGTTTTGATTTCGTCTTGAGGAGTTTATAGTGTTTCTCAATCGGAGATTTAAAGCGGAAGTTAAATCTTGTTTTTCTGGACGTTGGAGTGTTGTTTGACTTGTTCTGGTTGAGCTGCGAAAACTATTTTTCTAGGTTTGGTGAGGTTTCGTGACGGAGTTCTGTTGTTTGGAGGACTGTGAGAAATGAGAATGGAATGATCTTTGAAAAGCAGACCGAATACTGAACGCTGTTTTTCTTGTTGTTAGTTTGTTTGCTCCTGGAAGCACGGATTTCCTGGCTGTTGACTGATTTTAGCTGTGTAATCAAGTCGTTAGGAAATGCAGGAGCCAAGTATAGATACCGATAAGCTTAGTTATGAAATCTTCTCGATTCTTGAGAGCAATTTTCTCTTTGGCTATGAGGATCAGAAGCTATGGATTCCCAAGCAGACACCTCCCCCTGTTGAAGTCAAACTGATATCCGATACCGGAAGTACTCAAGCGTACGCTCAACAAGAAGCAAGTCGTGACGCTTCGTCTATAAGAAACCAGAGGGGCAAGGTCTGCATACTGAGCATCGATAGCGGAGGTATGGGAGGGATTCTCTCAGGTAAGGCTCTGGCTTACCTCGAACAAGCGCTCAAGTCGAAATCGGGAAATCCTGACGCCAGAATCGCCGATTATTTCGACGTTGCTGCCGGAGCCGGCGTAGGAGGCATTTTCACTGCGATGCTTTTCGCAACAAAAGACCATATTCGGCCGATATATAAGGCAGAGGATACTTGGGGATTCTTGGCAGATCAAGGCCAGCGGTTCTACCGCCGCTCGACTTCTAGTTCGGGCGGAGGTTTATTTGGGCGGTTGCTCAAAATCAACTGTACCAATTCCACCAGTTCACCCACCGCCGCTTTAGAAAAAGCGATGAAAGAGGCATTCACTGATAAGGGACGGAGTTTAACCCTAAAAGATACTCTGAAACCAGTTCTGGTACCTTGTTACGACCTGTCAACAACGGCACCATTTTTGTTCTCGCGAGCCGACGCCCTAGAGAAGGATAGCTTCAACTTCCGTCTCTGGGAGGTTTGCAGAGCAACATCGGCCGAACCGGCTCTATTCGAACCGGTAACATTGAGGTCGGTCGACAATCAAACCAAGTGTCTGGCCATGGACGGCGGTTTGGGGATGAGCAACCCGACGGCGGCCGCAATTACTCATGTACTACACAACAAACAAGAGTTTCCGTTCGTGCGAGGAGTTGAGGACCTTCTGGTTCTGTCCTTAGGATCCGGCCAGCCGTTGGAGGCTCGCCGCGATTACCGTCAGGTCAAAAGGTGGAAGGAGAAGGAGTGGATTCGGCCCATGAATCGAATCTCTGGTGAGGCCTCGGCCGACATGGTGGACCAGGCCGTCGCCATGGCATTCGGTCAGTCCAGGAGCTCTAATTACGTGAGGATTCAGGTACAACAATCTGCCACGTGCACAACTGCACACTAATCCTATTTCCAAGAACTTTCGTTTCTTTATTAGTCATGCCTCGCATTTTTAAATGAAAACATTCTCTTATAACAATAATTATGACAACAAATGCATCAATTTTAACCATGAAGTCTACATCGGAGGATATTTCAATAACATACGCATAATTCATTACTTTCTTACCAATCAGGAATTAAATATTGTCATTCTAGGGTGAAGTAGAGATGGGTTTATTAGTTATTACAAAGTTACAAAGATTTTCGTTTAGTTGGGACATAATTTAGGTGTTTCTTGGGTCGACTAGGTGTTCTGAAAGCAGAAAAGTCAATAGGAACCTATGTGGTTTTGCTACACATATTGATGATTATTTAATGGCATATAAGGACCCTCTGGCCCAGTTTCCTTTTTTGCCTTTCATTCTGTATAATCAACACCCACTTTGAACAGATTCTAAATTTCCACCCATCTAATTGTTCTTGAGAAAAGTTCACTTCCACGATAATAGTAATGTGATAAACAAGTCCACTGCCTAACCAGGCTTTGTAGCTAACCTTACATCGAATAATCTTTTTGCAAGTTTCCTCAAAAGGAGGAAATATAGCTGTTCGTGCGGGTAGGGATGTAAATGCTGCGGGGGAAAAGTATGGGTTTGATAAAAAGCTGACCACAAGTTTGTTAAGTGGCCAGTGGTGCCTAATACAAAACGGTACTTTACTTTTTGTTTTGCTACAGCGGGGTCCATGTATGATGTATCAGAAATTGATCCTTTTTTCTTGCCACTGTTCAACCAAGCTATCACTATAAACACCATAAAGCCTGTGTAGATAATATACTATGAGGGGAAATTCTGCCTTCTTCTCTGGAATTGGGGAAGTTTTCTGGTCCTGTTGTAATATGAAGTCTTTTTCTGTTGTTGGAATATTCTCTCTTCCTCTTTTTTCCTTTTTCATAATAATACGAACAGTTATCGGTAAAAAGTTACAATTATAATTTCATTTCCAGAGGACCCACTTTATGGTTCTTTGTAGCTTTAACTCAAAGTATTAAGAGGGCTATGAACTTCATAGTCTTTGTAGCTTTAACTTTAAGTTCTAATATACATGATATTGGACAAATCATTATTGGTATTTCAGGCACTCGGATCGAGCTTAGGCCAGGATGGACCTAACTCAATTACTGATTCTGATGCTGGTAACGTGAAGATGCTGGTTCAATTGGCAGATGAAGTTCTCAAGCAAAAGAACGTTGAATCCGTGCTCTTTGGAGGAAAACGATTTTCAGAGCAAACCAACTTCGAGAAGCTCGATTGGTTTGCTGGAGAATTAGTGCTTGAGCATCAGAGGCGGGGCTGCAGAATAGCTCCCACTGTGGCTTTCAAGCAAGCTACCACCAGGGAAGGTGCTAAGGAACGTTCTTAATGAAGAAAAGTAAGCTCACTCTTTCTTCTGCTTTTTTTTTTTTTTTTTAATTCATCACTTTGTTTTCAACTTCTTACCTGCATCCTTCTTATTGTGGCTTATATACATAGCTAAAAATAAATAAATTGTAAGACCCACCCACTCCCAGTTTTGGTTAATGCGGTACAGTGGTCTGATAACTAAATATCAATGAAAAGAAAACTTGATTATCTTTCAATTTCTTGTAAATGTTTTACTGGAGGGTAAGAAGGAATCAACAATGAGTTGTCTAGGTCAATAGACAAGTATGGATGGCGTTGGAAGACGGACCCAACTGGATGATTGGAACTTGAATTGAATTTGTATTTTTCTGTTAGTTTGGTAAATTCCAGATAGCCGCTATAAATCTCGAATAAGTTGAAATTCTGAAATTAAATATGTAATCATATCCCGTTGACCAAGATATATGGAATATTGTGTAGTATTAACCCAGAATTAGAGAGAAGCCTAGACTCTAATAAGTGGAACACCTAATATGCTCACAAGGGTCAGAGGTATGATTGTGAAAACTGGTAAATGTACAAACGACATGAATTTTGTCACTTTCTAGCTGACTTCTAAAAAGACAAGGTGTAGTACTGTAGAATAATCCTGTCAATTATTTTCGAAAAAGATGTATGCAAGTGTGAATTGCATTGTTTTTCAAAAGTGGTTTTCTCTATTTTTATCGTTCTTTTATTTTTACAGAATTCTTTTGAAGAAAACCATTGGAGTTGCCTTTTTTTGTCTATAATTATGAGCTTATGAACCATGCTTTTAAGTGCATAATAATCTCATACTTGCGCTTGAAAAATAGTTGAGAGTTACTATTAGATCCCGCATTGGTCGGGGGAGGAAAACGAAACACCCTTTATAAGAGTGTGGAAACGTCTCCCCCTAGTAGATCGTTTTAAAAACCTTGAGGGAAACCCTGAAAGAAAAAGACTAAAGAGGATAATATCTGCTGGTGGGCTTGGGCTGTTACAAATGGTATCAGAGTCAAATATCGAGCGATGTGCCAGCGAGGAGACTGTTTCCCGAAGGGAGTAGACACGAGGCGGTGTGCCGTGTCCCTGGACCCCGAAAAAGGGTGGATTTGGTGGGGGTCCTACATCGATGGTTGCTACTACTAAGGATCTAGGTTTTTTTTAGTTAGCTACCATTAGAATTATAAAGTTAAGATTGTGCTAAAAACTTGAGGACAACTTAACACTATTCTGAAACAGCATCAAGAAACACTGCAAGAATTCGACTTTCATCGATGCTAAAAAGCATAGGCAAAAGTACAAAAAACGTCGGGAAAAGGTTATCCCGACATGAAAAAAGATCGATGGTCTCTTCATTTGCGTCGGCAGTTATAACTCTCTTATGTTTTCTAACACAAACTTTGTAATTTTCAACAGGAAAAGAATAGGATGTGTAAGAAGAGAGGAGGGAGGAGGCCAGGAGGCCAGGAAGGACAAAAGACATATATAGTAATCTTTTGGTGGGATACCCTTGCCCAACAGAGGACAGACAGTCTTGCCTTATAAGGGTACAGGGACAAGAAAGAACTAGGTAAGCAAATTTGGATTTCTTTCCTTCATTTTCAGGTCAAACAAAATAGAAATTGCATGAACAAATTAATTACTTTCAGATTGAAAAATTCAGTGTGGTAAAAGTAAAAGTAAAACCCATAGTTTGTAAGGGTTTGTGTGGCCGAGGCTCAAGAAACTTGAGTGCAGATGGTGGAGCTATCTACCTCTATTATTTTAGTATTGATCTTTATTTGTGCTTTTGTAGTTAGGTTTCTTTTTCATCAAATACATATTCAATAGTGCAAAAGTATTCGAATATGCCCATTTCTAGCTAGCTGCCTTATTATTTTAGCTTAACTGATAATAATTCAGCTGGTTTAGGTCCTTTTTTTTAGTTAGGTTTGTCGATATATTTAGTGGTTTTTGTATTGTAAACTTGGTTATTAGGTAGGTTTTGTTTCATTTAAATAAACCATTATGTTGGTTTTGCATGGATTTTGGGCAAAAACCAACACGTTCCTCACCTAAAGAATAAAATATTGCAAGTACTTCCATAGTCTTGAGTTATCCAAAATTATTTTATTATCTTGATATTGAACTAATACCCTCTATTTAAATGAAAATTATTGGAGTAAACTTCCCTTAATCTTGTCTACTCAATATTTAACGAGTTGAATTTTTCGTGAGATTTTTTATTTGACAAAATGGCTTTAAAAGTTACAATATTATTAGACCTTTCTTAAACATTTCCAACCTATTCAGGTAGTTGAAATCCGTTGAATAAAAATTGGGACTTAAAACTGTTATGGATAACTCGAAATAAAAAGTGAACCTTGAATACTAACCATACTATTTTAGGTTACTGTCACACTTGTTTCATGTCCCAATTTCCAATCAAAATTCTAAAAAAAATTATTTCAATAGTTATGTATGAAACATTTATAAGAAGGAACATGTTCAAAGGTAATATTATAATTTTGGATAGAATAGCGAGATTTTTTTAAACAAGGAAAAAAGTTTAATAATGTCCTTTGCAATTTAGTGAAAGGAAATTATACCTACAAATGCATCACGCGGCTAAAGTTCTAATAAAGTGCTCGACTTTAAGTTCGACAAGTCAATTAAACCAACCCACTATGTAACTAAAGCTATATTTCCATACATTGATAAAACCTTTAGTGGGAGTTCATATCCTTTGTCTATAGTTTTCTTATTAGCCCTACAAAAGAATCCCATCTAAATGGTTCACTAACCCACTTTTGTTTGTTTTTTAAATATAAAAAAAGTCCTTTAATTAGCTCTCCAACAATATTTTTTGGCTTGCTTTGTTTATGATAATAGAGAAGTATTAAGTCGCCAATTATGACTTTAAACAATATTCTTTAGGGTATGATAATGGATGGCCATACTTCTTAAAAGGAATCTACTTTTTAGGACTTGTTGTCATTGACATGAAATGCTTATCCTCAATGTCCTTGTAATCTCTTAATATATCAATTTAAGTTGTCCCTATGCAATTGGTTATGTAATGTGAATAATAGAAGGCTCTTTTAGAGGGCCCAAAAGGCAAAACTACTTTGTAAACGCAACCAACCAATGTCTTAATTATGATGGAAAATAGAATTATGACAGGTTGAAGAATCGTCAATTCAATGAAAATAAGTTAGTTTGAGCATAAGTATCATCTCGAAGGTTGATTGTTTGATCTTCTACTTTGCAATTGTTGAAGAAAAATGTGATATCCTACCTCGGTTGGAGAGAAGAACGAAGCATTCTTTATAAGAGTGTGGAAACATCTCCTTAGTAGATGCGTTTTAAAAATCGTGAGGCTGACAACGATACGTAACGAGCAAAAGTGAATAATATCGACTAGTGGTGGGCTTGGACTGTTACAAATGATATTAGAGCCAGACATTAAGCGTGTGTCAACGAGGACGTTAGACCCCTAAAAAGGTCAATTGTGAAATCTAGCATCGGTTGGAGATGGAAACAAAATATTTCTCATGTGAAAACTTCTCTGGAGATGAGCAGAGCAGCAGGACCACAATTCAAATTTTTTATTCCTTCGTTACAAAATTTTGATTAGTCTCATAAATAAGTGTAAGCATAAAAAAAACCTCAGCAAAGTGAACTTACTTTCCCCAAGATCGGTTATGTTATAATAGCTTTTGTTTAAACGGGCGTGTTCGAAGCCTCACGCTTTGGTTCGATCGGTGACTGCAAATCTGGGTTGATTGGGAACAGATTGCATTGTCCATGTTGTGCCATCAGCTGGTCCACAAGAACTAGAGCTACCATAGCTTCAACCATTGGTACAGCTAAATAACCATCAAACCAAACAAAGGCAATTGTAATATAAGCCTGAATTCTCCATTTCTATCAGTATATTCATCAGATTACTGTATTTTAAGAACAAGAGAGGTAAAATCTTGCATCTTCAACACTTATCATATACCAATATCTTAAGTTTATTTCTTTCGTTTCTTGTTACGAATGGCCACAAATGCAAAGGATGACGGATAGATTATGAGATCTTACATTGATTGGAGAAAGGAATGAGTGTCAGCGAGGACGCTAGGCCCTGAAGGAGATGGATTGTGAGGTCCCACATCGATTGGAGAGGGGAACGAAACATTCTTTCTGAGAATATGGAAACCTCTCCCTAGCCGACACGTTTTAAAAACCTTGAGGGAAAGCCCAAAGAGGACAATATCTGCTAGCGGTGGGCTTGGACTGTTACAAATGGTATTCGAGCCAAACATCGGGTGATGTGCCAACGAGGATGCTGAGCCCCAAAGGGGATGGACATCGGGCAGCGTGCTAGTGAGGACGTTGGCCTCGAAGGGGGTGGATTGTGAGATCTTACCTCGGTTGAGAGGAAAACGAAGCATTTTTTATAAGGGTATGAAAACCTCTCCCTAGCAGACGCGTTTTAAAGACCTTGAGGGGAAGCCCGGAAAAAAAGCCTAAAGAAGATAGTATCGGCTAGGAGTGGGCTTCGACTGATACAAAGATATTTAAAAGTCATTGGAAGTACCTCTTGGGACAACACAAGGGTCATGACGACCACGGGTAATCAGCTCGACCTCTTTCTTATCTCTGGTCACTGTACTCTGCTTTTTCTGCATAAAGAACATACAGGAAGATGTGAAAAAGGTAGACTGAAACAATGTGGATTCACCGTTGATTTTCACCAGCAGGGGAAGAACGGGGCGCCCCATCCAAATAACGGCGGGTCGGGTCATGGAAACGAAAATTGGTACAAGTGCTAGGGTGGTATTCTCAAATTTGCATGCAAGTTCATGAGAGAAAAGGCATGTTACCCCAATGGTAGCTGTTGGCTTGAAAGCTACCCTCATGGTTATGATTTCTCCATTAGATATACCTCCCTGAACATATAGATTTTCAGTAATCACATCAAAAACACAAAAAGAAGAACAGGCACCATGTTCCATTGACCAAATCTTAATCACTTCATATGGGCGTGACTAGACTACCTGTATTCCACCCGAGCGGTTCGTAACTGTTCTAATTCTTCCATTTTCATCTAAATAGAACGGATCGTTATGTTCGCTGCCAGTTAAAAATGTACCTGCACGGGTTTTAGATTTAAAAATGTGAGTGTTGCAGCAACTGCAAAGTATGAATTCATTCTATATCATGCTCCAAAGAACCAGACTAAATTTCGACCTCCGAATCCACTGCCGATCTCGAAGCCCTTCGATGCAGGTAATGATAGAACAGCTTTAGCAAGCTCAGCTTCAAGTTTGTCAAACACAGGTGAACCAAGCCCCTGATGAAATTTGTAATCCTCGTTACTTCAACAAATTTTTAACTTAATATACCTATGTGAGGTTTCGTTTAGAGAGAGAGATGTACAGGTGGACAGTTCTTCACAATGCATGTGACAACACCACCAATTGATTCCCCCTTCAAACGAACATCATCGATAGCAGCAATCATTTTCTCAGCAATCTCGGGGTCTGGGCACCTGACTATGTTGCTCTCAATCTGGTAATATTCATAGCAATGATCCTCAGATCAATAATAATAGAAGAACAAACAATAATTATGTAAGGAGCATCAATGTTATGATAAATTGTATCAACATCATAAATTTTCCCAATCATTTATAATAACCATCAATCGTTGAGAGTATCTCCACGTGCATATACACAAATCATTATATGTCGATGAAGAAGTAATTATCTAAATGAAAGATAAAAAGGATAGTAATTACAAAAAGAAAACGAAGGGAGCATCGAAGAGAGGCATTAAAGGGAATCATATCCCACTAAAGTACATGTTGAGAGCGTCGAGAGTTCTTGGAGTGAATGAGAAAGACTTATGATACGTGTTACGCTTTTAAATGGTAACTTCAACTTAATTCAGTATTTGTGCATATTCATGAAGGAAAACCAAAATTTATGATATAGAGATCACTACAAGAAGCATCAGATTCTTGAATTAAAATTCAAGACACGCAGTGTGAGATCTCACATCGGTTAGAGAGGGGAACGAAACATTCCTTATAAGGATGTAGAAACCTCTCCCTAGCAGATGCGTTTTAAAACCTTAAGGGGAAGTCTGGAAGAGAAAGCCCAAAGAGAATTATATCTACTAGTGGTGGACTTGGGCTATTACAAATGGTATCAGAGCCAATCAACATTCCTTATAAGGGTGTGGGATTGTGAGATTTGAGCTATTACAAATATCTGCCAAAGGGAGTGGATTGTGAGATCCCCACATCAGTTGGAGAAGGGAACGGGACATTCCTTATAAGGGTGTAGAATCCTCTCCCAAACATACGCGTTTTAAGACTTTAAGAGGAAGCCCGGAAGGGAAAGCTCAAAAATGACAATATCTGCTAGTGGTGGACTTGGACTTGGGCTGTACGCAATGTAGAAACTGTATATCTTAACATATGTTAGAGTACAATCACTTTAACTATCTTCATCTCTAGTTTACCTGCTCCATCGACAAAGTTTCGTGATCAACGACACCCTCGGGCAGCACAACTTTGTAGACTTGAGATACATATGCAAGTACCTAAGACATGACAAGAACAAATCAAGCATTCAGGAGATAAGACACGGCTAAGATTGAGAAATAGAAAGGCCAATCATAGTATGTGATATATAGTAACTCGATGTGAATATAATTAGTTCAGACTGGGCTATAGATATGGATACTGAAGAAGATTCAGCACGAAACTCGTGACAATAATGAAAGGAATATAATTTCACAACTAACCCACCTCAGTTCCTGCTAGTTCCTTCAAAATCTTCTTAGCTACAGCTCCAGCAGCAACTCTCCCAATGGTTTCCCTGGCTGAAGATCTGCCACCACCCTAAAAGAAAAATATGGAGGACGTATATCGTATTACCAAAAGTCGTAGCAGTATCAGAATGATATTCAAGTACAAAACAAAAGGAATTACCTCAACAACACGAATTCCATATTTCATATCGTAAGTGGCATCGGCATGAGA